GCACTGCTTTTGCCTGTTTGGGTGGCAATAGATTGGCCAGCAGGCGCCTGATGAAGTGCGGTAGGTCTGTCTGGCCTATTGAATCCGGGATGCCTCGGATCTTGATATTATAGCGCCTTTGTTGGTCCTCAAGGGTGTTTATCCGGTTGTTTGATATGCTTTGTTGAGATTGCACCTCAGTTAATGCTTGTTCTAAGGATGCTATCCTTGCTTCTTGGGAGGCAGTTGAGGCCTCCAGCCTCAGGACCCTGGTAGTGACCCCCTCCACTGCCTCTTTTTTTTTTTTTTTTTTTTTTTTAATTCTTTATTTTTGCAGTGCATGAAAATGATACAGGCAGGCTTGAGGTGCCCCAAAAGCAGTCCTCAGGCTATTCCTCCGCGTTATATGCGGGACATATGTTTATCAAGCACAATTTTTTTTTAAAATATAAACATGTTTAGTCAATCATACTTTAAGCTATAAGAAGGTAAGATAGCTAGTTCAGAGTCGTTTTGTATGAGGATGTGACATAACTAGGAGTATTTCTATGTTGCTTGCCGAAAAACCTAGGCTGAGAACAGTACAGGTCATGCATATATGTATATCAGTAGTTGTACAGATAAAGTAGTACTCCTAGGCTTCACGTGGCTTACAGGCTAGGCCTTGAGTACTCAGTGCAATACAAAAATCACCTTTTAGCAGTAGATGCCCAGTTTTATCAGGGCATGGGCACAGTTATACAGTAAGTTGCTTGGAAGTTATCCTTACGTAACAGGCTGACTAAGCATTAAATCTGAGTAACATTCTATCTTTCATGGTTTACTATGAGTGTAACGAACATAAGATCACCAATCTCAAGGTCTATTCATGCTGATGCAATATCATTAACTGTGTGATTCTTCAGTGATATGATTAAACATCTAGCGCCCTATGCTTAACTAATAGAGGCTAATATAAACAAGCGTGAGTAAGGTATACTATGATTGGCAAAAAGCATTTGTCAGCACATGAAATCAAACTGGTATGCAGCGGTCACCGGCAAGGCACTTGGATCTGGACCCGTGGGGTAGCGTATGCGGGTCATAAGAGAGTTTGTGGTAAGTCACTATTTATCCTATTCCTTCTGTGGGAATGCGGCTGAGGCTCTCCGGTTGGTCCAGAGGAGGTTCTGATGCTCGGCCGGTGGTGGGGGTGTCCCTCTTGCCCCAAGCTGGTGTGCAGGCCTGCGTCTTCTGGCCTGAGACTCGGTGGCACACGTTGCCCGAGTGTCTCCCCCTCATGGGGGTGGCGGGAGGTCTGTATGTTGATTGCCGCTTGCGTTTCCACCTATGTGGCCGACGCCTTCGGGTCAAGGCCCTCTTGGCCTGCAGCCCGGGTGGGCCGGGGTGGGTGAGTGTCAGCTTTTGGTCTCGTGTTGCGCCCGAGGGAATTCCCCTCTTGCCCAGCCGCCCATAGCTCCCCTCTCTTGGGTCCATGGGGTCCTGTCGTTTTGTCTTGGTGCGCTGTGCGCGCCGCTGGAGCTTCTCCCAGAAGTCGTTGAACAGTGCATCCAGACGCTGCATGAGGTCTGTGCCGCAGTCGGAGCTCTGCTTAGCTGCTTCAAGCTGAGTTGCTGCGAGTACTCCGCCGCCATTTTCGATGGGCCACGTGTCGCCGGCCCTGGTGTCCACACGCTGTGTATAGGCTCGGACTGGGCTTGCGGCGAGGACCGGGATATCCCCCACCGGTCCCGGGGGGGGGGGCGGGCAGGATGAATGAGGGTCGAAGTGGTCGTGGAGCAGGTAGGTGGAAAGGAGAGCGGCCGTCTCCCCTCTGCCAGCCATCCTGTAGGCCTCGGTCACCGCAGCTAGGGATCTCGGGTGATTAGCTAGTCGATTTGGGTGTCCAGAGTTGCCCCCCCGAGGATCCCAATTCAGTTATGCCCGTTAGAGTAGTTCTGTGCCAGTTTTACTGGGTATTTTCCCCAAAATCAGGCAGATAATGCAGGAGCTGGGTTTCAGCACGTCCACTCTGCTTGGCAGCTAGGCTCCGCCTCCCTCCACTGCCTCTTTTATACCAGCCATGTCTGCTGCTATGTTGGTTCTGAGCTCTGCCAGCATGCTCTTAAGTATTGTGGCTGTGACAGGGTCTTCTGCAAGGGTGCGTGAGGGTCTAGGGTCGGGTGGAGGGGCTTGTGCCATACCTTCTCTGGGGCCTATGGAGAAATCATCAGATTAAAATGAGCATCCGTCGTCTCCCGACGCCATCTTGTCCCATGCGGACTTTTGAGAGCGTCGGGGAAGTTCCCCAATATCGTGGGTGGTCGGGTCTTTATCCGCTCGGGTTTTCTTATGTTTGTGTCCCATGGCTAATCCATCCCGGGTCGGGTATGAGCAGTTGAGCCCGGGTGGACGTCGGAAATCGCCTTGTTTAGCGTTTTGTTTGCGGTTCGTGTCGGGGAGCTCACAGTGAGTGCGACCGCTCTGCTCCGCTGCAAGCCCCTCCTCCATCCCAGGCAAAAAATTGTAACGCTTTAAGACAGCGTTTCCCAAACCAGTCCTCAAGATCCACCAACAGTCCAGGTTTTGTTAGGATCTGCATTGGAATAGAAACAGGGAAATATATAAATCCTGGCCTGTTGGTGGGTCATGAAGACTGGTTTGGGAACCACTGCTTTAAGAACATATGAACCACATCTGCCTTTCTCCAATCCTCCGGTACAATTCCTGAAAGAAAAAAATCTGAAAAAAAAAAAAAAAAAATAGAGGTTCACTAATTTCCACACTTATTTTCCTGGGTAAATGCCCTCAGACACTAAAAGCTTCGTTTACATTAACTTTCTTTAGTTGCTGCAGCACCTTGTCTTGAGTCATCCAATCACAATCTGCAAATATTTAGCAGCAATCATTTGCATATCTCTCGCCATAGCATCCTCCTTAAAATATTCTGAGCAAACAATTTAAAATTACTGGTCTTTATTAACTACACGGTTTTTAGTGTACCTACACTTAGATGGTTTTTATTTTAGAATTTACGTACTTAAAAAGTGTTTTGGGGTTGGTTTTGCTTTCATTGGCAATCACTTGTTCATTTTCTAGTTCAGCCGCTCTAATTGCTTTTTGCATGCACAACTGGCTCTCTTATATAGGATGCCTCTGGTTTGTCCAATTTAAATGGCCTTTTCATATTTTTAATCTCTTGGTTTACTTTCCCACTAAACCACTTTTTAAATTTTTTTATTAATTTTATATTTACTACATAGTAAGAATTGAACCTTTCTAATATTTATTTTGAAGATATTCCATTTGTCCAGTGTTCTTTTCACTAAAGAGTTTATACCAGTCAATAGATCACAAAGACGCCCTTAACTTATTGAAATCTGCCTTTTAAAAATATGTTTTAGTCTACCTCATGTATTTTTGCTTTTTTAAGTTTATTTCAAAAGGCACCATATATTGTGATCACTATTTCCCAAGTGCTCCCCTACCAGAATGCTGGTCAAAAGATCAAGGTTTATTATAATCAGATTCAGACAAGCATCCTTTCTAGTTGGTCATTTAATATGTTCAAAAACCTGATACCCCTTGTGGAACTACTATCCCCTTTATCCCAATTTATGTCCAGGTTATTAAAATCTCCATTAATTAACGTGTTACCCAGATTTGCAGATTTCCCAATTTGCTGTAACTGTTGTTCTTCCTCATCAATATTAACATTAAGCGGTTTCTAACATATCCCAACCAATAATTTATTTCCATTCTTTAGCGACAAGCAGATATCTACCCATAAAGCTTCCACATTGTCATTGTCACATTCCACTTTGCTTAAAGGATCACTATAGGTTCAGGAACACAAACATGTATTCCTGACCCTATAGTGTTAAAACCACCATTTAGCCCCCCCAGTCTCCTCATGCCTCCATAAATATAGTAAAAATCTTACTGTATTCAAGCCTGAAGCTGTAAATCTGCATGCTGTTAGACTCAGAAAAACCAAGAAGTCTGCTGACATTATCAGAAGTGGTAGCCTGATCCAATCACAGTGCTTCCCCATAGGATTGGCTGAGACTGACAAAGAGGCAGATCAGGGACAGAGCCAGCACAATTCAAAAACAGCCCTGGCCAATCAGCATCTCCTCATAGAGATGAATTGAATCAATGAATCTCTATGAGGAAAGTTCAGTGTCTGCATGCATAGGGAGGAGATACTGAATGTTTGGATGCATTTTAGACAGCCATGACCCAGGAAGGATCTCTAACAGCCATCTAAGGAGTGGCCAGTGAAGTTATCACTTTTCTCTGAAAAGACAGCGTTTACAGCAAAACGCCTGAAGGTAATGATTCTACTCACCAGAACAAATTCAATAAGCTGTAGTTGTTCTGGTGACTATAGTGTCCCTTTAAGATTTGGCTTGCACTCATGGCTGACATACAAACATATCCAACCACCTTTTCTGTATTTATAAGACCGAAACGGACCTATAGGACAGCCATTAACAATTTCCATCCATCAAAATATGACGCTCAGGTGTATTTAAGAACACAGAAGAAAAATTAATTTAAAGATAATCATTAATGTTAGTATAACTGTGAATTTGGATGTGCATAAGTAGCAACTGACATACAGATGCATTCAATCACACAATCTGTCTTCTGGACAATAAGTATAACTGCAAGAAGACAGCCATGTGATGCAATCTGCCATACAGGGGTTAATGTATGTATTACTGTGTATTCTCTAATGATTTTGAAACATTGGCCCTTTATTTAGCGGTCTATACCATTTGCTCCCTTCCATCTGTGAACTTTATGTAAGCACACTCTTGATTCTGACCTATATAAATCACAAAACCGTTTCAAAATAAATAAGAACATACATGCAAACCACCTGCACACACACAGGAGTAATGTTTTGATGATTTTAAAATACGGCAGCTAATATGCAACTATAAAAGTCTAAATTGACAAAAAAAAAATATAACAAAACTAATGCACACAAAAAGGTGAGAAAGAATCAATTTTTTTTATATATATACAGAGTACAGGAAAAAAGGTTTTGTAAAATCTAAAACAATACAATTAATATTTACAATGAAATCTAGCTTGTCCGACTTCCACAAGAAGTGGCAGTATTACAATAATTAAAAAAATAAAACTGAAAAAAAAACCCATCAAAACAAAAAATATCAAAAGGAAAAAAAAAAAGAAAAAAAAAGAAAAATAAAATAAAAACAGGACAAACAAGTGTACGACAAAATGTTTTGTTACAACAGACCGGAGCCAAAGGCATATCACACGCGGCACTGTACACATTTAAAAATATTATAAGAAAAAAAAAAAAAAGGGCAGCCTTCTGTTTATGTACAAAAAATCTCAATGCCTGTCTGTGTGAAGCTACTTTTATTGAAAATGTAGTTAGAATGGAAAAAAGGATTGATGTCACACTGTTCTGTATTGGGACTATTAATGCTGTTAAATGTAACATGTTATGAGAAATACAGTTTTGCGGAAAAACCAGTTCTGTATAAAATGGTCACTGGCACAAAATAGAACAAGTTTTTCCTGTCTATTAATTTACAATGGCATGAAGAAAAAAAAAAAGTCTAGATTCACGTGTTTGTGGCCTGCAGAAAGTCTTCTGACCTTTTGATCGGATTCTGGTAAATTCGTTCAGGGGACGATTGCTTATTTTAATTTTACAATTTAAAAAAAAAAAAAATATATATATCTATATATATTTATAATATATGAAATGTATGATAGAAATATATGTGCAAATGCCCATAAAATGTGAGCAAAGGAGAGGAAAAAAAAATAAAAAAGTGAGCTTTCTTCATATCATGCAAATGTGCAAACTCTTTCTTGCCAAAACAGGGGATTCCAAGAGGCCGCTGGGCATATTTCCTCTGACGAGTAAGTCTTAATTCAGGAAGAGAGTTTTTTTTTGTCTCGTAAGAGTTCTAGTGTTTGGCTCCTAAGGAACAGAATTGGATCTTAAGACTGGCACCTGGTGAGGTGACTTCAAAGACATTTTGTCTTCCAAGTCCAGGTCTTGTGCTAAGGCATCATTTTCACCTTTCGGCTGCCTTGTTGCAAATTCCGTGATTGAGAAAAGAAACTGGATGCAGCCCAGTTTAATATAACTTCCATGGTGAAGAAGAGCCGTACCTTCCCAGCCTGCCCCACTTCCTCCAATGAGGCTGGAGCTGCTGGCTTTGCAGTTGCATGGCTGTTGCTGGAGACCTTGTGCCCGAGAGTTCATAATTGGCTCTTCCTTGATGGTCTCCGGCTCTGGGTTTTGGCTCTTACTGCGTTCTGAAAAAAAATGAAAATAATGCAATAAACAGCGTAGTGAAAGATACATACATCTAGAATAACTGTCAATATATGAAATGTATGGGACAATGTGTGATGGAAATAAATCTGATTATTCCAGTGTAAGCACTGGTCAATATTAAACACTTAGCATTTGTACTATTGAAAAGTTTGAAAAAGTGTTGGTACCAGACACACATTGTCTATGATTTTTGTCTGGCAAGTAGGAGTTTAGCAATTATCATTACTACATCTTCATAGAGCGAGGATACAGGTTTGTAGGTTGATATAAAGATTTCATTTCCTACGTTACGGTTTGGTAAATGCGGAGCGGTTTATCAGTCTTTGGGCAAATAACTAGAAAACAGAAAGATATTGATTAACATGGCAGCAGGATGGGAATGTAATGCTACACTAGGCTTTAGCAGTGTGGCAGGTATCCAGTGGGTTTAAAGATATTCCCCTTCCCCCCACCCCCCTAGCTATCGTGCTCTTGAACTGGCATTTAAAAGTTAAACCTTCAACTAAAGGGCTGTGAATACTTTTTACCATGGCTATGGGGAAATTTAGGATTTTGTAAGGATTAGAGAATATCTACTTTATTTGCTTGGCTTTATTGGACCACTGCTAGTTTTATGCAGTAGTTTGTGGTGCTTCATACTGAGAGTTTCATCCCTTAGACTTTCTTATATTGGTATAGTTCAAGAAGTCCAGTTGGCTGTGCACAATACAATGAAATAACAGCCTTTAGATAATAAAATTGAACCGTGCATTTGGGAAACCAAATAATATCATAATTTCTGAAACCTTTTAACTTTTGGAATGCAGCAGCTTTGTGTTTTCAGTAAAATATCCTTGGTATAAAAAAAAATAAATAAATTCTAGTGTCACTTCCACATTTCACAAAACATTTAACGCATGTCCTTTTTTTTGTAAAATGGTAGATATCTGACATCAGTTAACGCACACACGCATTAAGGACACTTTTCAGGGTGAACTAGAGTAATAAAAGAACACCAAATGGGTTACCATGGAAATTGCTCAACTTTTACGATATAAAGTTTAATGAATGAATGCTCATAAAGTTAAATTGTCATTCAAAATCAAAACCACCACATTAATCTATATTATTTTTATGAATATATCAAACGCCTGGCAAAATACAAAATGGCATCAAGCTAATGTTAAAATGTAGGAAGATTAATTCAAAAGACTTTAAAAAAATAAAAATTCTTTATTTTTCACGTGCAAAGGGTGACAAACAAGCTTGAAATGCCACAATAGCTGTATCAAGCGCATTACTAACAATCAGCTCAGGACAGTAAAACGGCTTCATATAGACTGCACATTTTATATTTAGTTAACGTTGGACCTGAAGACAATCACAAACTTAGATCATGAAGTAGAGAATAAGTTGGCTAAACACTAGCGTGTGTGCTCATCTTGCCACTGTTGTGTACCGTAGCTAAATGTCCCTAGGAAACATGACATTCCGTGTGCCTGATGTGCGTGGTCCGCCTGTGGCCGGTATGCGTGGAACGCATGTATGGAAGGGTAAGGTGGCTTGTGGCCGGTTGTGTGGATCATGATCCCCTGTAACCCGGCTATATCTGTTGCAGTGGGACTGCGTGTTGTACCCTTCCCTCAGCTTGTGAGACTAGGTGTGCATTGTGTTTTGGTCTCTCTGCGGCCTAATATAATGTGTCTAAAGTAAGAATAACAACATATAAACCAAAATATAAGGGAACAGGTAACTTGTGCACATTAAACTGTTGTGTGCTTAGAGTTCCTCCACATAAGCCCTTGAGGCTAGAGACCCGTGGAGAATTAGATGTGGCCTCGTGCAGTCAGAGTCCCATCAGGTTGTGGCTGCTGTGCTTCGAACCGCCGGGGGACAAATGGTAGTGTCGTTGTTGGGTCCCCTATCCCAAGTGAAGCAGGTATGGTGCATTGTCCCGTCGTAGGCTTAGTGTGGGAAGTAGTTCTCTCACGCCCTGCATATCTTGGATGGTGTACCGGGAGTCTCCGTGAGAAAGTTGTAGTGCGGGTGAGCCCCTCCACTTGTAGTTGATGTTTTGCGCGCGGATAAGTGCCGTGGAGGGCTGAAGTGAACGGTGCCAGGCCATTGTGAACCATGAGAGGTCTGTATAGAATGAGAGCGACATTCTCAAATAGGTAGGGAGAGTGGTTTTGTGTTGCATTCAGCACTGCTGTTTTATCCCTATTATAGGGAACGCGTACCAATAGATCTCTGGGTAGTGTGCATGGGGCTGTGGCAGGCCTTGGGAGTCGGAACATCCCTTCCATGCATTTGGCATGTTTAGGTGTAAGTAGGGCCGTGAGAAGCCTTTGCATAAAGTGAGGCATTTCAGCCTCCGGTGTGTCTTCTGCGATCCCCCGGATCTTAATGTTTTTGCTGCGCCTCTGGTCCACCAGTACCGCAAATTGGTGTTCAAATTTAAGATTCTGTTGTTGCAGTTCGGTTACCAGTTGCTGTAGATGCTTGGTGGTTTGTAGGGATCCATGTTCCAGGGCGCTTATGCTGCCTGTCAGGCCCTGCAGGTCTGTGCGTATTTGGGCCATATCCGTCTGAATAGCGTGTTGGACCCCGGCCAGCAGGTCCTTCATAACCGCTATGGTGACTGGGGGTGAGTCTGGTCATGGGGGAGTGGAGAGAGGGGCCTTTGATGCGGGAAGGGGCTCTTCCTCTGTTCCGGTTATGAAATCATCGGAGATGTCAGAGCTTTCATCAGGGAAGGCGGCCATGTTTGGACTCACTGCATTCAGGGTCTGTCTCCAGAGGTTGCCGGTGCTTGCGTTCTGCCTTGGCTGATAAGGTTTGGACTTTTTAGTTTTTCGTCCCATCCCCTCTACTGTTTTACGGTCTATGTGGTGTCTGGGTGCTGCAATTAGGGTAAAAGTGGCTGTTTTGTCCGGAGCTCAGACAACGTGCGGCCATTCAGCTCTGTAGCTTAGCTCCGCCCCCTTCAAAAGAAATTTTTAATGGAATTGACATTAATTTTTTTTTTTTTACATGAATAGTTCACAACAGCTTCGAGAATCGTCCCATTTTTGGATGATGTAGGATTCAGACAGATCTGACTACACAGGAACTACCACATGAAAAATACAAAAAAAAGAAAGGTAGACTCTGCATTCAAAGAATGTTGCTTAATCAAGTAATTTTTATTACATAACAATAAAGTGATGCGCCTTAATTATTGAGACGCCCTGCCACAATGTTATTATCTGTGAAAATACACAGCAACAGTGCTGAAGAGCAGCTTACATATCTGGACGTTTATAAATATATATCACACATATTGAGGGTGTCTCCAAGAAAATATAGAAAATAATCCTTATATCTACCCTTAGAAGGACTGTGGGACGCTCAAACAAAAAGCTGCCTGTGCTATGCATTGCACAAAGAGAGTCCTGCTACTTTGTCCAGGAGATGCCTGGTGATGCAGAGGAAATATCAAGCTTTGTATCGGCATGTAGAGACCAATAATCACATGTAAGCAAGAGATTTGAGTCCTCACGAAGCCTTAGTTATCTCATTCTGCAATCTTTTCATTTTGTTTTGCAATTTAAAACACTATTTTATTGTGGCAACATAACCTGGGACCATTAGTTATTTTGGCTTTTGTGTTTTCTTTGTCTGTTATTTGGGCTGCTCACACACGAAGGTTGGATTTTGAAAACAACACAGTAGGGACTTTGCAATGTTAAAATATTACTGGCCTTCTGCAATCTTGGAATTTTTTTGCGGTTATACTGTAGTTTATATCCAGGTACCATGTCACTATACTTGGAACCAGCTTTCATATAATGGAGCGAAAAAAGGTCTAAATATAAGGAATATTTTCTATATTTACTATGGGCTACCCTCAAAGCATTTTACGCATTGGTACAATTTATTAAAATATATGCAATGCACACCTCATTACTCATGAAATTCACATGGCAACACACAAAAAAGCAGAGTATCCGCCAAAATTTTACACAGGTCGGTTGTGGACGGTGGTCTGGGTATCCCAAACCTGTATCTATACTACAAAGCGGCATTATTGAGCACTATGCTAGCAGCACACGACTCCCATTATATCCCACAATGGGCAGGAATAGAAGCCTTCTGGCTTAAAATGGACCACGTCCACCCAATCTTTTGGATTGACAATACCCGGAGACCAAAACCATTTCCAGGCCTCCCCACTACTCTGTTGCTTGTAGACACCTGGGAAGGGGTGAGGAAAACATTGGTTAACCACCCAAAAATTCCGATGGCAGCTCCCCTGCAATCAATAAGCTTAAAAATCCCCACTTTTAACTATAAGCTGTGGACTGAAAAAGGCATCACCAATGTACTCCACCTATACCAAGGGGAATACCTCAAAACCTTCCCATGCCTACAGGAACAATTTGATCTACCCACAAAATTTATATTCCCTTACCTCCAAGTCAAATCTTTACTAACAACCCACCCACCCACTAATCCCGAGAAAGTGTTAAACGCACCAACCTCAAAGTTTGAAAATATATGCTCAAATAAGCCCAACATAAAATCTCTCTCCACGTGCTACCACTTGATCCTACACAGCCAACAATTAACACTTAAGCACTACAAAAAAGCTTGGCACACAGATTTAGGCACAGACTTGAGCCCAGAACAGTGGAAAAGAGCTTACACTGCACATAAAGGAATGACATTGTGCGTCCAACACCTAGAAATACAACGGAAAATATTATACCGTTGGTACTTAGTACCGGAAAAAAATACACAAAATTTGGCCCGCCTCCATGAACATGTGTTGGCATTGCGAGAGGGAAGTGGGCACGATAATTCACATGGTGGATATGTCCCACACTAGCTCCTCTCTGGACACAAGCCCTCCGAATCATGTCGGATATGCTCTGCCACCAGGTATAAAAAAAAAATCCTGCACTGTGCCTGTTGTACATGTTCCCTGAGAGGATGTCCAAAACTCACCGGGCGTTAATATACCATACGCTTACATCAGTACATATCCTAATAGCGAGACATTGGAAATCTAAAGAAATACCGTCGCATACACACCTAGTGAACCAAATTGCACTCAATTGGACATATGAAGCCATGCACCAACATCAATTTGGCCCAAGACCTACAGTAGTGAAGGCAAAAGCAGTAGAAAGAGGGAAGTGCTCATGCCATTATACAGAACACTGGTGAGACCTCACTTGGAGTATTGTACACAGTACTGGAGACTGTATCTTCAGAAGGATATTGATACCTTAGAGAGGGTTCAGAGAAGGGCTACTAAACTGGTTCATGGATTGCGGGATAAAACTTACCAGGAAAGGTTAAAGGATCTTAACATGTATAGCTTGGAGGAAAGACGAGACAGGGGGGATATGATAGAAACATTTAAATATATAAAGGGAATCAACACAGTAAAGGAGGAGACTATATTTAAAAGAAGAAAAACTACCACAACAAGAGGACATAGTCTTAAATTAGAGGGACAAAGGTTTAAAAATAATATCAGGAAGTATTACTTTACTGAGAGGGTAGTGGATGCATGGAATAGCCTTCCAGCTGAAGTGGTAGAGGTTAACACAGTAAAGGAGTTTAAGCATGCGTGGGATAGGCATAAGGCTATCATAACTATAAGATAAGGCTAGGGACTAATGAAAGTATTTAGAAAATTGGGCAGACTAGATGGGCCGAATGGTTCTTATCTGCCGTCACATTCTATGTTTCTATGTTTCTAAAACATATATGGGACACATACAACAACCACACTGATAACCCCACAACACAATAGCTGATGGATGGAAAGAACGACATCCGTGGTGTGGCGCAGAAGAGATCCGGTCCTATCACATGAACAAACAAGAACTCGGCGACGGAAGATACTTGCTAGCCATCCTCCCCTACGTACGAGGGGCATCCCGCCAAACCAGCTGGACAACCTAGGGTCATCCCTTCCCCATTCCCTTGATAAACCCCCCAGATATGTAAACTGCCTTGCAACATTGCTACTGACAGACTTTAATGGATTATAGGACTGGGGCAGGGTCTCTCAGTCATTAAGGCACTTTATTGCTTGGCAATCAAAAATTATTTGGATAAGCAACATTCTTTGAATGCGGTTTCTATTCCTATTTATATATATATATTATATATATTTATTTTAAAAGATCGCATAACGTAAAAAAAAACAGAAAAAAAAAAAAAACATGCA